CCCTGCCTGCCCCACGGAATCCCTGCCTGCCCCATGGGATCCTGGCTGCCCCATGGGATCCCGGCTGCCCCATGGGATCCCTGCCTGCCCCATGGGATCCTGCCTGCCCCATGGAATCCCTGCCTGCCCCATGGGATCCCTGCCTGCCCCATGGGATCCTGGCTGCCCCATGGGATCCCGGCTGCCCCATGGGATCCTGGCTGCCCCATGGGATCCTGCCTGCCCCATGGAATCCCGCCTGCACTGCACAGCACGGGACAGGCAGGTGGCTGCTGTGTACTCACTGTCAGCATGTTCTCAGTCAGGATGAGCTCAGACAGATTCTCACAGTCCCCAATGGATTCTGTCATGTCTGTCAGCCGGTTCTGGTCCACCTTGAGGATGGAGAGCTGCTTCAGCTGACCTGGCCAGGGTGACAAGGTGACAAGGGTGAGCTGTGCCAGAGACAGGGACGCTGCTCCACCCCCACCTGGCTGTGATCCCATCAAGGATCACGGAACCCAACCATGCAGGCTCTGCCCTTCCTCCTGCAGGCCCTTCACACGCACCTGCTGCAGTGAAGCACCTGAACTGTGCTCTGCTCACCTGTACCCCCCAGCTCCTGCTCTCCATGACCCTGCTGTGCCCGTGAGCCCCGACTCTGCTGCAGCCCCTCCAGGGGCACGGCCCTGGGCCAGCACTCACCAATGCCATCTGGAATGCACTCCAGCAGGTTCTGGGACAGCAGCAGGTCCGTCAGTGCCACCAGCCCGCTGAGCTCGTTGGGCAGCTGCTCCAGTTTGTTCTCAGACACGTCCAGGCACACCAGGCGGCGCAGATTGCCCAGCTCCTGCAGCAGGGAGAGAAACGGGGGTCAGGGGGAGGGCTGGACAGACTGACAGACACTGAGGGGGAGGGCTGGACAGACTGACAGACACACACACACTGAGGGGGAGGGCTGGACAGACAGACAGACACTCACTGGGGGATGGAGGAGCTGGACAGACAGACAGACACTGGGGGGAGGGCTGGACAGACTGACAGACACTGAGGGGGAGGGCTGGACAGACTGACAGACAGACAGACACTCACTGGGGGATGGAGGAGCTGGACAGACAGACACTCGGGGATGCAGGTGCGGGACAGACAGACAGACACTCGGGGATGGAGGTGTGGGACGGACAGACAGACAGACACTCGGGGACGGAGGTGCGGGACAGACAGACAGACAGACACTCGGGGATGGAGGTGTGGGACGGACAGACAGACAGACACTCGGGGATGGAGGTGTGGGACAGACAGACAGACAGACACTCACCGGCGGCAGCGCCGAGAGTTGGTTCCGGTCCAGCC